TGCTCTGGTTTTGGTTGAAATAAACATCATGGAAGAGCTATCGAGAATAGTCAAGATTGGGCTCCCAAACGGTTCCACCCTTCTTTAACTTGTTGTGTATGAAACCCTTCCTAGCCACTCGTAAAACTTACCGAGTTTTGGGGCACTCTACCGCCTCTTATGGAAAAAAATCAACATCGATCGGTCTAGCCAAAGGAATGGCTTTGAATGGGGCTGTGAACTCCAATCGAGCTCGAGTTAGTGTTTTTCACGGGATGGTATCCGTCGCTACCGAGATGCGGGATAAAATTCCATCGGAGGTGCATCGATTAGACCCAATGATTTCGAGGCAGCTGCAGGTGTCTCAGAGAATGGGTGACGAGTTACTAGTAAAGCCAAAGATAAATCCCAATCGAATCGCAAGCCTTAGTCTCGACGGTCGGTTCCTACTCGGTCTCGACGGCGAGGCTCGAGCGTCGCCTCGGAAGGAAAATCGGATGGGCACGGGGCCTCAATCCGTGCCTTAGAAATGCAAGGGTAAGGCTATTACGGAGGGTATTAGCGGCATTGAGAATCACCCAAGCCACGGTGGGCCTATGGAAGCTGTGGAACTTTCGACGAGTCGGGCGCGGCTGGATAATCTATGTACTAGGGTCAGTTAGCCTCAAAAGCCAAAATGGTTTGGGTTGTGAAAGGCGGGATGAGGCGATTCGGGTGCCGATACGGACGTTCGGGTGGATAAGGTCGCTCTCGTTATTTGCGTGGCGTAACTTGGCGATGAACCTTCGGATAAGCGCGAAGCGACAAGGCTAAAATGAGTGCGAAGGGGTCCTCACCTCCTCGAGTCGCTAGATTTTAATTCTCAATTGAAATGTTAGGGGTCTAAATAGTCCCCTCGAAACGAGCATAAGGTTACTGGCCTTATGAGAACGAAGAAGATAGATGTTTGTGCTTTTATTAAAACCAAGCTCGGTCTTTCCAAGCTTGCTCAAATGCACGAGTTTCGATTTAAACTTTGGCGTTTCACTTCCAATGCAACATATGCCTCTAAAACTCTGTATTGTCCTCTTTTAGAATCCCGATACCGTTTTGCTTGATCTTCTTGATTTTTCTACTCGAAGTGCTGAATGTCGGAATCCGCGAGTCTTGTTTATCGGTCGGTGTTCAATGCCATTTTTATGTATGGCTATAATACGATTATACATAGACGATAGCTCTAGGAGGACCTCCTTAAATGGAGCCCTAATTGTTTGTGGCTTGTGCTTAGGGATTTCAACTCAATTCTTAGCGGGACAATAAGCATAATGGTGTTGCGGGCTCTACCTATGAGATATCGATTTTTGTTCATGCTACTTGGACTTGGCCTTAAAGATCTCACCTATATGGGCGGCCACTTCACATGGAACAGTGGGAGTATCTAGACGAAGATTGATAAAGTTCTAACGAATCTCCTTTGGTCCATGTCCCTTCTCTCGGTTTTTGTTTATTTTAAGTTGTACGGCGCCTTCTCGGATCATGCTCAAGCTTGGGTTCGGATAGCCGATCGGCTTCCTCGAGGTCAAAAAAACTTCAAGTTTTTTAATATGTGGGCGCACCATGAAAGCTTCCTCCAACTTGTTAATCGACATTGGCTCTATGACACTAGAGGCGGTCCCATGTTTGTCTTATGTTGAAAACCGAAGGCACCGAAAGGGCCACTTAAAGCATCTCAACGGGCTCCATTATAGCCATATTTTCGAAAGAGTTTCCAAAGCTATCGTAGACCTTGAACGCAACCAGCGAGCCCTCCGAGCATGATCGGGATAGCGATGGCCGTCTAGCACGGGAGAGGCATCTATGGCTAGATTTGGTCAACCTAAAGTCGATGAAAAAAATGTTTTTCAACCAAAAACTCAAATACAAATACCTAGAAGAGAGTGACGGGGGTAGTCGATTCTTCTATACTCTCATGAGCCAAAGCCACAAGAGGAACTTCATTGTAGCCATAGAGGACACTAATAGGCGGCTCACCACTTCGTTTACTATCGTGGGAAGCATCTTTGTTGACTACTATAAAAATGCAGCTAGCTCTGCTAGGGACACTCTTCCTCTCGATGTGGAAGTTATTTCTAGTGGGCCTCGTCCCGATCCTAGTGCTCATGATTTGCTCCTTACTCGGTTACCAATTAGAATATCGGGGCCACTCTGTTTGGGATTGAAAATGATAAAACCCCGGGTCTAGATTGGTACTTCTCTTTATTTTTTAAGGAAGCATGGGACGTTGTAGGTGCTGACTTCGTGTTGCGGTAAAGGACTTCTTTACCTCGGGGAGCCTACTTAAGCAAGTCAATCATTCTGTCACTTCACTAGTTCCCAAATCGGCTAACGCTTCCTCTTCTTTGAATTTTAGGTCGATATCCTACTTCAACATTGTGTAAAAAGTGATTTAAAAAATCCTCTCTTTTAGGTTAGCTTTGTGCTTTGGTTGATGTTATTAGCCCCATGTAGAATGCTTTCTTGGGTGGGAGGAAGATGTCGGATAATATCCATCTTCTCCGGGAGCTACTTCGGCAGTATGGATGGAAGCGTGCCTCCCCTAGATGTCTTCCGAAGGTGGACTTCAAGAAAGCCTTTGATTCGATGCGGTGGCCTTTTCTTCGAGACGTCCTTCGCAGCTTAACTTCTCGAATGCTTTTGTCCACTTGGTTATGACTTGGTTATGCATTTTCTAACTTGAGAGATGCCAACAATAACTCCATCGTCGCTATCTTGAGGGATGCTAGTAATGGCTCCTTTTCCCTTCAAGTTGGGGGACCTTAGTAGCTCCTTTCCCTACAAATTAAGCAACACCAATAGTATTTTCATCCCCTCCAAATTAAGAGACGCCAATAATAGTTCCATCTCCTCTATCTTGAGGGATTCTAACAAAAGTTCTTTCCCCTCCAACTAAAAGGACACTAATAGCTCCTTCCATTCTAACTTAAGTGACTCAAACAAGAGCTTCATCTCCTCTATCTTGAGGGATGCTAACAATAGCTCCTTCCCCTCCAACTAGAAGGACTCCACCATCTCTATTCCCTTAAAATAAATCAACTGAATAAAAATTATTGTAGTAGTTAATATTTTAAAATGAAATAGCTACCATCAAATCACTTCAAGTCATATAGTTTTACAACATTTAATTAACAAAATTATCATCTTCATACTCCTTTTTATTGTAATAGAAGTTAATTATATCAATAACCTCATTCTATTTTTTTTATCTAAAAATTTTGTAATCTCTATGAGGTTGGATTGAATATCTTCCATAATCTTCAAAGAAGAAAACCTAAAAATAAAGATGTGAGGGAAACGATGATGGGATTTCATCTTTAGCTCAAGCGGTTAAAGGATGCCAACAACTTCTCATTTATCTCGAGAAACTAAGGGATGCTACCACTGTTTGTTTTCTTACCACCATTGGAAGCAGGAATCAACCTTCCCCTCTAGTTTCAAGTAACAAATATCCCTCTTGAATGTCATAGGCTAATTTTTTTTTTAAACGGAAAGTCCATTGCACAAACAATATCACTCCAAATAAATAAATAGATAAGTAAAAATTAAAAAATATATATATATATATATATAGTACAAAATTATAACTAAAAGTTTGCTCAAGTCCATATGTGGTTCATGTTTGATCCGGACAACAAAAATTTATATCTTTTTGTAGACAAGAGACAGATGGTTTGTGAGTAAATTTTCCAATTAGTTGCTTTTGATTGTGTGCTCCATGTTGTATTAGGTGTGATGGTTAGGTTTTTACACTAAGATGGGATTCCTAGAAACAAACCTATCCCATAGCTTTCCTCATATATCGAGTAGAAAAAACAAATCAATCTAGCCTTAAAATAGCCTCACACACATACTAACATGTTCAAAGCACTAAACGACCCTAAATCAAGATCTAGAACGACTCTACTAAGCTATCTCAAAAAAATTGAAAAACTTATCAAGAAATTTGATGGAAGTATGGTTGGATGAATTCCCACCACTTCGCTTTTTATCTTCCATGAACAAATCACTTCCAAATTATTTTCAAAGTCATGGCAATAAAGCATGAAAAAATATTCCAGCCATTCTACTTCCTCAACTATCATCAATGTAGCTTTATTTTAATCTTTAATTAGATGATCGACAAGCAAAATATGAAATGTGAGTGAAGTTGTGCCAATGTCCTTTCCAAATAAAGGGATAAAAGACACATTTAAAGAGTAACCATGATTGGTCATGATGCCTTGACATAATTCAATCCTACAACCCTCGAGGACAAGAAAGTTGAAATCTGCAAACAAGAAAAATAATTTGCTAGTGTAATTTAAATAATTCAAAAAATAATAAAATGAAACAATTATATTCTAAATCTATCAAACCATAAATCATGTCCGACAAAAGCCAATTATAACTACAAGTATGCATTTATATTTCAAAACTTCTACTACCAATTAAGCTTATTTTAACTGTTCCTACAAAATTTGGAAACATCAATTATCCATAAAGAAGAGGGAAGGAAAATGGAAAAAAAAAAACGAATATAGTAGAATACTGTAGTAAAAATTTATTATTTTTCCTTATTATTCTCTTTCTTTCAATGCTCTTTTTGGGATTACATGCAATAAATAGTAAAAGATGTCACTCGTTTACAATTTATTGATAGTAGTGGAAAATCATAATTGATCTGTCTCCTTGAAACATGTCCAAATAACAAAAAGAAGAGATAGAAAGCTTTGTTCTTGTTATCTTCAAATTGAGAATAAAGTAACTTGAAAGAGAACATAGCATGGCTCCATCCACCAAGAAATCTTGAAACCTTTCTTTAACTAGAAATAGGGTGTATATTTTTATATGCTTTTTTTTATTTTTAGTCAAAGTGTATTTTCATGTGATTAGATAAATAAGATTATGGTTCAAACAAGATATTTCTGGATAATAACACAAAACAAAAAGAAAATGATTCTCTTTGAAAGAATAAATAAAAAGGGAAAAAAGGAAAGGTATCCATCTCAATTAATGGTGTCAACGGCTCCAACAACATATCCATCCCTTTTAAATTGAGCAATGCCTATAGCATCTCCATCTTCTTTAACTTGAGAGTCACCAACAACAACCCCATCCCCTCTATCTTGAGGGATGCTAACAATAACACATTTTCCTTCAAATTGGGGGGCCCTAGTAACTCCTTCCTCTTCAAATTGAGCAACACCAATAGTATCTTCATCCCCTTTAACTTCAAGGATGCTAGTAGCTCCTTCTCCTCTAACTTGAAAGACACCTACAATAGCTTCATCCCCTCTACCTTAAGGGAAACTAGCAATAACTCCTTCCCCTCCAACTAGAAGGACTCCACCATCTCCATCCCCTTAAAAAGAAAAAATCAAATTGAATAAAAATTATTATAATATTTAATATTTTAGAATCAAGAAGTTATCATCAAATCACTTTACGTCATATAGTTTTACAATATTTAATTAAAAATATTATGATCTTCACACTCCTTTCTATTACAATAGAAGTTAATTATATCAACCTTATTCTATTTTTATTTTTTTTGTCCAAAAATTTTGAAATCTCTACAAGTTTGGATTGAATATCTTCCATAATCTTCAAAGAAGAAAACCTAAAAATGAAGATATGAGGGAAACAACGATGGAATTTCATCTTTAGCTCAAGCGGTTAAGGGATGCCAACAACTTCTTCTCCTTTATCTCAAGCGGTTAAGGGATGCTTACACTTTTTGTTTTGCTACCACCATTAGAAGTAGGAATAAATTGTTCCCTTTTATTTGAAGTAACAAATATCCCCCTTGAATATCACAAGTCAATTTTTTTTTTAACGAAACTCCATCGCAAAACAACATCACTCCTAGTAAATAAATAGATAAGTAAAAATTTAAAAAATATATAGTACAAAATTATGAATAAAAGTTGGCTTAGGTCGACATGTGGTTCATGTTTGATCCGGACAATAAAAATTTATGCCTTTTTACGGACAAGAGGTAGATGGTTCGTGAGCAAAATTTTCCATTTAGATTCTTTTGATTGCATACTCTAAGTTCTCTTAGGTGTGATGGTTAGATTTTTACACTAAGATGGGAATCCTAGAGGGAAATCTATCCCATAGATTTCCTTACATCACGATAGAAAAAAAATCAATCTAGCCTTAAAATAGCCTCCACACATACAATATGTTCAAAGCACTAAACGTACTCGAATCAAAACCTAGAACGAGTCCTCTAAGCTATCTCAAAAAAATTGAAAAAGTATCAAAGTATTTGACGAAGTATGGTTAGATGAATCCTCTTTGCGTTTTCATCTTCCATGGACAAATCACTCACCAAATTATTTTCAAAGTCATGGCGCTAAAGCATGAAAAATTGTTCCAGTCATTTTACTTCCTCATCTACCATCGGTGTAGCTTTAGTTTAATCTTTAGTTAGATGACCGACAAGCAAAATATTTGGGTGTTTTAGTCTCAAGGATAGCAAAACGAGAAATGTGTGTGAAGTTGTGTCAATGTCTTTTCCTAATAAAGGGATAAAAGACACATTCAAAGAGCAACCATGATTGGTCATGATGCCTTGATATAATTCAATCCTCGCAATCCTTATTGACAAGAAAGTTCAAATAGGGAGAAATGCGCAAACAAGAAAAATAATTTTCTAGTACAATTTAAATCATTCAAAAACTAGTAAATTGAAATGGCTATATTCCAAATCTATCAAACCATAAATCATGTTTGATAAATGCCAATTATAACTACAAGTATGCATTTATATTTCAAAACTTTTACTAATAATTAAGCCTATTTCAATCTGTTCCTATAAAATTTGAAAACATTATTTATCTATAAAGAGGAGGGAAGGGAAATGGGAACAAAAAAAAACGAATATAATAGGATACTGTAGTGAAAATTTATTGTTTTTCCTTATTATTCTCTTTTTTTCAATGCTATTTGGGGATTACCCGTTACAAACGAGCAAAAGATGTCACTTTTTGCAATTTATTAATAGTGGTGGAAGATCATAATTGACGAGTCTCCTTCAAATATGTCCAAATAACTAAAAGAGGAGACAGAAAGTTTAGTTCTTGCAATCTTAAAATTGAGAATAAAATAACATGAAGAAGAACATGGCATGGCTCCATCCACTAAGGAATCCCGAAACCATTCTTTAATTGGAAATGGGATGTATATTTTTATGTGCTTTTTTATTTTTAGTCAAAATGTATTTTCATGTGATTATATAACTAAGATTATGGTTCAAACAAGATATTATTTGGATAATAACTCAAAACAAAAAGAAAATGATTCTCTTTAAAAGAATAAATAAAAAGGGAAAGGCTTTCTCGCTCAAATAATGGTGTTAACATCTCCAACAACATATCCATCCCCTTCGAATTAAGCAATGCCCTTGGTATCTCCATCTTCTCTAACTTGAGAGATGCTAACAACAACTCCATTCGCTCCGTCCGGAGGGATGCTAACAACGACTCATTTTCCTTCAAATTGGGGGACCACTAGTAGCTCATTCCCCTCCAAATTGAGGAACACCAATAATAAATTCATCCCCTCAAACTTGAGAGACACAAACAATAGTACCATCTCCTCTATCTTGTGGGACGCTAACAATGGTTCTTTCCCCTCCAACTAGCTCCTTCTCCTCCAACTTAAGAGACACCAACAACAGACTCCATCCCTTTTATCTTGAAGGATGCTACCAATGACTCCTTCCCTCCAACTAAAGGACTCTACCATCTCTATCCCCTTTTAAAAAAAAATCAAATTGAATAAATTTTTTTTGTAGTAGTTAATATTTTAGAATCAAGTTACCATCAAATCACTTCATATCATATAGTTTTACAGCATTTAATTAAAAAAAAATTATGATCTTCATAATCCTTTCAATTACAATAGAAGTTAATTATATCAACAACCTCATTCTTTTTTTTTCTTTTTTTTCTAAAAATTTTGAAATCTCTGCAAGGTTGGATTGAATATCTTCCATAATCTTCAAATAAGAAAACCTAAAAATGGAGATATGAGAGAAAAATTGATGAGATTTCATCTTTAGCTCAAGCGATTAAGGGATGCCAATAACTTCTTCTTTTTTATCTCGAGTGGTTAAAGGATGCTAATAACCCCTTTTCTTTCAGCTTGAGCATCCATAATTTTAATGTTTTTATTTGCTTTCTTTTTGTTTGTTTTCTTCTCATCATTTGCTTCGTTTTTTAAACTTTCTTCTCTTTCTTCTTTTCTTTGTTCTCATCCTTTCCTTCTATTTTTTCAACTAACATATCCACTTCAAGTATGTCAATTTTATGTCTCACATTTTTAACTAGCTGCAACTTCTTATCTTTGTTCATTATAACCTTGTATAATTTTTTTTATAAAAATTGAACGCTTCCATCTTCTCACCCATATATTTATACGCTTCTCTGTATATAAATGCATATTAGAAAAAAAAATCAATAGCTAACAATAAAAAAAATAATTATTCAACAATATTAACGAGTTAATATATATAGCATTTATCTATAGAATTAGCTACTACTCTTGACATCTAGAAAACATAAAATATATAAATTTAATAAAATTTAATATTTCAACTAAGATTTCAGAATAAAGAAGTTACCATCAAATAACCTAATGTCATATAATTCTAAGAACGTAATTAAAGCAATAAACTATGGTTTTCATACTCTTTTCTACTAGGACGGGATATAATGATACTAGAAACTTCATTCCATTTAATTTTTTCCCGATAATTTATAAATTTCTACAAGGTTTGATTAAATATATTTCACAATTTTGAAAGAAGAAAACCTAGAAATGGAGATATGCAAGAAACAACAATGAGATTTCTAAATCAGATTATGATGTAAGAAATAAGTAATCGATTATGGGCTAATATAATTGGATTGAGTGGTCGAACATAAACAAATAGTGGTTAGACACATTAAAAATTCATAATTAGTTTAATAATTTTTTCACAAATTCAATTTTTTTTACCATTATAAAAGATGTGATTTCCAACCAACCTCCATGATTATACTACTATGATCACTATACAAGTAAGCCTTCATGCTATCACGATTTTGATAGATAGTAAGAGATCATGTTGAAGAGATAATGAACACCTAAGGGTTACGGAAGAAGAACGAATAAAGAATAGTCATTTATCATGTTATCTAATGAGAGCTTAAAAATCAATTTTCTTTAATTTCTTTATTAATCTACATTCGAAGCCATCTCAACCCAAAAGTTTAACTTATTATTATTATAATCAACATAATTTAGGCATGCAACACTTATCTTGCCATTACCTCTTTTCACTACTACAAGCAAAAGTAGTAAATCAAAATTTTTTTTCTTAAAATTTTTTCTCACTTCGACATTCCAATTTTTCTTTCGGGCCTCTAACAACTCTTTCCCAAGTAATCACCCACATTTTTACATGACTTCTAGCATTTATGATGAAATCAACTAGTTACTCAACAATTCATAAACTTAGAATGTTTTACATACTCATGAGTCAAGTTGCCGTTTGACATAAAAATAAACATTGGTGATAAATACCCCTAGTTACTAAGCAACTCAAAACATTAGAGTAGGTTTACAATTCACTTAATAAAGCCAAAATTTCAATTTGGAATGCTTTCTTTTTTCCTTCTCACGAGTTTAATAATTAACTAGAAAATCTTGTTTACTTAAACCATGCTTAGGCTTAGTTTCAAAAGGTAATTTCAAAACAAACATTACTTCAAAAATCATACTTAATCAAAAAGACATATAAATCTTTCTAGCATGCATGCACTTCCATAATAATAACATTCAAAACAATCTCGACTTTCTCATAAGATCTTGTTAAAAATTCTACATCAATCATCAAGTAAGAAGGATATCATACTACTCATGGCATTCGTTTTTTTTATATATATAAATAACCTAAAAATAAAACAAAAACATACAAACAATTACAAATCCTTCCCCCGCATTTAAATCTTACATTATGCTCGATGCAAACATAGAATTAATTATAGGCATATAAAATTTAAAGAGATCAAATATGATATGCGTAAATCGAAAGGAGGGAGAGGTGGTAGATGGAATGAAAGCTTGAGACACATCTTGGTGCTTTCGTGCTATATAACTTGTGTATTACTTCTCTTCCCATATCTCTGTCTTTCCTTGGAAATTGAAGTGCCAAGCATACCTTAATTTACTACCTAACCTATATGTCTTGTCTCTACCCGTGCTTACTTTTTCTCTGTCTACGATGTGTAAAATAGTACGGAAACACATAGGATTGCTTTTTATGTAGGTGAACTAGTGTTTGTGCCTTCTAACCATATTTCCTCTCCTTTAATTACAAACTTTAAAACACAAGGCACCCACGTGAGCGTGCTTATTAGTAGTACACATGTTGTGCCATTCTTTTATACTCGTGTCTCGCTCCTTCGACTCTCTTTTTACAATGCCTAGGTGTACTTGTATTGCATCAATTCTCAAAATCAAGTCACGGTGGAGGGAAAATTAACTAAATGCAAATATAAAAAAGGTAAATAAATTCATTAGATTGCTCCTAATAATCATATTTGTTTAACGTCGTTAGCTCGATGTTGGTATTACTCGGTCCTCGTAATTATGATCCTCCGATGTAATCACTTCCTCTATTTGCACTTGGAATCCTTCATAGAAGGATTTTAATCGATGACCATTCACTTTAAACATCTTATTGGTCTCTAAACTTTGAATTTCAAGCTGTAGCATAAGGAAACACACTATAACAACAAAAGGTCTAATCCGGCGAGAACGTAATTTATCTAGAAAAAGCTTACCACTAGAATGATAAGGAGAACTTTTTGTCTAATAAAAAAAGTCTTCCCAAAAACCATCTCCTAAGAATCAAGCCTCCGAATGATCAAGCATCCTATGGAGGTATGAAAAAAAAAATCTCCATCTAAGAATCTCAAAATCAAGCCATTGAATCAACTAATCATACATACAAAAATTAAAGTGTGAGTAAAGGATTACCTCTTGTAACATAGATTTTAATTTTACACAAAGGGAGCCATCCAAGTGTCCAGCCTCTATCGATAATCCATACAACCCAAGCATCAACACAAGAAGCATTCGGAAGTTATAAAGTGCTAGAACCACCTTTTATGACTTGTTTAATATTTCTCTTTAGAAATCTATTCGGGGATATTTTACGACAATCCTAATTGAGAGGGAGAGAGGTAGTGTGTATTTGGAAGAGAGAAAACTATTTTCTCTATTTTTCCTTTATTGACATGTATGCCTACAATTATTACCACTCTTTGCCGCATCTCCCTTTCTATGTATAGGGGGAGTGTGTTCCTTGTCCTATAAGGATAAGGAAGTGATGATATTAAGTTCCAAAAAGGACTCTAGGTTGTTGCTCCCTAATCCTTAGAGGATTAAGAGTTGTACTACATGTTAGCTTTTTCATCTTATCTTTTTAAACCTTGAACTTTATCCAATAAGGTTTATATTTATCCTCCTATAAAAATATCTTACAAGCTTTTAAATTAAATCTATTGGCCCAATTAATTACTAATTAATTTGAACTATCCCAATAAATAAGGTTAGATATTTTTAGGATGCCCATATTAGGAAATAATTTCTCAAGTTACCCTTAAACTTATACGTGTGACTCAATAGGCTCCTAGATATGTTGGCAATGTATCAAGAATAAAAGACACCTCTTTTATCTCTTGATACATAAATCAAGATTAGCCTCTAGGAAGACGTCATGACTATCCAATTCTCTATGAGGATTAATTAATTCGCAATTACCTTTCATGAGCATGGTTACCATATAATTCATTCCTCATGTCAATTTACCATAATGTGATCTCGAACTTGGTTATTATTCTATTTGATTATAATCATATAAGTTTTCTTCGAGTCCTAAATGTCTTAGCTCTTGGAGTAAATCAATTATAATACTCCTATTATGGCCATAAATTTCTTGAGAAAATATTTATCGAAGTATAATGTGATAACTCCTTTAGCATACAAGGAATGACATGTCTTATCTTAGTCATCCATCTATCTCCATTAGATTCCTAATGCACCTAACAAATTACATATGTACAACTCTTTAATGAGTCCATCGCAAGGAGCGTCAAAGTACATAAATTCCCTAATGAGATAACCATGATTATTTTAAGTCAAAAGACTAGTTGTACCCATCTTGTATGAGATTTCTATAGACTAAACCAAATGAGTTCTCATGGCTAGTCAAGTCCAATAATATGTTCTCTAACATTAATCACCTAAGTACTTGCTTTTGACATCATCATGCTAATAGGTGTGAGATCTCCTACTATTATCTTATAGCATGAGCATAGCACTCACAAGTCTTACTGTATATAGTCAATGTCCATTCTTGACAATGCTACAATTTAGGATATATAATGATATCATTTAAGTGCGTTAATATTTATCTCACATATTTTGATTAATCATTAACGTAATGCATATCATATGGACTTCATCAATTCATCAATAAATATAAATAATAAAAATTAATAAAAAGACTTCTTTTATTAATAAAATAAATAATACAATATTAT